TAATATAAGAAATTTTAAATCATTTATATTAATTTGCCAATCTAATCTCTATTTCTATTAATATTAGATGGTGTCTATAGAAACTTAAGAATGAAATCACTATTAGAAAAGTAGCACATATGATATTAAACAAAGCATAGGAATGATTTTTTTGGATTTGGTCAGAAATGAAGTAAGTGTTTTTAAATTTTAACGGACAAAGCATTTTATAGTTTAAGTTAAATTGTTAAATGTGGTTGAGGCATGCTTAGTTTAGATTGAAACAGTGCTTCTCGATGGTACCTTAGTATTAGAAGAAATTCAGATTCATATATAATGTACTTACTACGAAGTAAGACAATATAGAGAACACCTTGTTAATGGATATAAATCTAGAATGTTAGAAAATGACAAGAATAGGGTAAGCCATAATTGTGGTGTCGTGGGATGCTTCGCTCAAGATTGTTTTTCAAACACACACTACCACATATTTGCTCTAACGCAACGGTTCAAAACCGTTGCGCTAGCCATGGAACCGTCGCCCTTGAGCAAGTGCGACGGTTCTCAAACCGCCTCATATGCTGCCGTTGCCCTACCTCTACCGTAACGGTTTTGAACTCTATTGCGACGGTTTTTTGAACCGTTGCCCCCGCATCTAACGCAACGGTTTTAAAAGACAAGCGGTTTTTAAGCCATTGCAACGGTTTTGATTGAGCTATTGCGACGGTTTTTAAGTTATTGCAGCGGTTTTGATTGAGCTATTGCGACGGTTTTCAAGCGGTTTTTAGCTATTACAACAGTTTTAAAAGACCTAACGCAACGGTTTTAGTAGGCTAAAGCTATTGTTTTAATAGAGCTACGGCGACAGTTGGAGCTATTGTAACAGTTTTAAAAGACCTAACGTAACGGTTTTAGTAGGCTATAAGTATGGTTTTGATAAAGCTACGACGACAGTTGGAGCTATGACGACAGTTGGAGCTATTGCAACAGTTTTAAAAGACCTAACGCAACAGTTTGGATTGAGCTATCGCAACAGTTTGGATCGAGCTATCGCAGCGGTTTTGATCGAGCTATCGCAACGGTTTTAATCGAGCTATTGCAACTGCTCAATCGAAGCTGTTCTTGGTTTCCTACGTCAAAATAATTATAGTATTCAATTACCTGGACAATCTTTTTAAGAACATGGCCAAGTCAAATTTTAATACACAATATAAAAGTGATTATGTTGAGCATAATCAACCATAATGATAAGTGCCAACATACATCAGTATAGTATAAAAACTACAAAGTATTAAATCCACACTACCAACATTTCAACTCAGAAAATATCGTACCGAACTAACATTCAAACAATGTACATCAACATTTGATTACAAAACATGAAACTTCTCGGTCAAAGACTATATTCTCTATTTGTTTCCAAAAACTTGTTCCTCAATGTCAAATACTCACTAGGAACCTGTCAGTATCAATCTCAATCTTGGCTTTCATCATTTCTGTACCTGTGTAAATTTCCATGAATCAGCATAATTTTTGCAATGATGATAATAAAATTGGGGAAAAAAGATGTTTGAAAAGGAAGTTAAGAGAACAATGTACATCATGCTTGTTTGTTGCCACAACCAAATCCAACCATTTTAACAAAAAAGGCTAAAGTTATCAAGAGCATCTAATCACAGCCATATTCGTCACCCTTATCCATAATCCCAACAGGGAATGAGCGAAGGGGGTCTTTTTTAAGTCACTTAAACATGATTTCGTTCCGATTGTTTCAATCGAAGAAATACTTTCCTCGTACCTGGGATAATTAGCTCAACTGAACTAACAAATTCGAGTTTCTTACTACTCCTTTGCTATTTTCTTATTTGTCATAGTATGTTCTTCAGGATCTGCCATCGCTAAATGATTACATCGGTCAAACAAATACTAATACTAGTTCTTAATCACAAAATAAACAGATAAATGAAATTTCGTTTCTATGACAATGAAGGCAAGCAAACACATCGTGGTTCATGAGTGCTAGTGTAACCATGGAGAAGCTGAATGTTATCTGCAGCTAAAAGAGAATCTAGTTCAACTTGCTAGACAATACAGGTTCCTGAAAGCGATCTACATAGCAAAGTAAGCAGGGCAAGTAGTAGCTCTCAGTCAAGACTGCTTCTATCTTATATGATATACTAGCAGGAACTCTATTCCCTGAAGTTGTTACTAATTTCCATGCAGCGCGATTACCTTTTAAGTTGCACTACTTTTTCTACGGAGGATATGCATAAACTGGAGTAATATTCAAAACTGGTCTGTTAGCCTTTTAGAAATTTAGAGGAAAAGGATCTAGCAGTTCTACTAGAGGAAGAATATTTGTTCACCTTGAGCTCAGATTTCAATAGATATTGCACTCATAAAGTTGCCTCAAGACATAAAGCATACCGATTCCTCCTGCAAGAGTACTGAAATCTGAGAAATATAATAAAGTCGCATAAGACATAAAGCATACCGATTCCTCCTGCAAGAGTACTGAAATCTGAGAAATATAATAAAGTCGCATAGATACAAAAGAAGTTATCTTAGCAGCAATTTATACTAGGAAGTTCTTAAGTTGATGAGTCTTCAGAGCGTCAGAATGTGTTGGTTCCAGAAAGGAGGCTCACCAATTGAAAATCAAAATAAAACGTCCGAGTCATGAGAAAAAGAAAGAAACAAAAGAAAAGGAAAGTACAACATCAGATGAACAGGGGAAAAAGAGTAAGCAGATAAAAAAAATATGAAACTTAGCTTCTACTAGCTAGAAGCATAAATGAGTTAAAAGGAGAAAATGAAATAGTGATTAATAGCATGGTCAATTGGTGATGGCCTGATGGCCATCTGCCATTTTTATTTGATAACATGTACAGCTTAAAATATTAAAATTGGGGAAAAAAGATATTGTAAATCATAGATAAACATCATGATTACCATATCTCTGCGAATTCTTGCGAAACTTTTTGAACCTGCTGTGTGCAAGAGCGTTTGACTGTTTCGAATTTCCCTATTCTTTTCACTTGCTTTCTACATAATCATAGAACTTCTAATAAGTAAATTCAACAAGTATTAATAACACCTCTCAAACAAAAAACTCAACAAGTATTAATAACACCCCAATATAAACGCCAGATCACTTTTATGTACATCATAACCAGTCCACCCAGTGTCTGAACTTTGGAAATATTAGCATGTAAAACAAATACACGCACGTGCAAGCTCACTAGCTTCACAATCGTCCATTAACAGTGCACATTGCAACTAACAGTATTATAGCTAGATTAGAGAATTCTTTTACTGATGCTAAACTTGTCCTAGTTAAATGCATCAGGGCAACGATGATCTGGATTAATTTCTAAATTTAGAGGCTCGAGCACATTTGCCAAACCAACAGTACTGTACTTAATTAACTTTACCAGTAAACTCATTAGTATAATTGCAATGGAATTATAATAAAGATTAGCAGCTAATAATTGAGATGCAGCATGTCATTCCCCTGTCCTTGTGTAAAAAGAAAGAAAGAATACTAAGTATTTAGCCTTATAATTTAAATATAGGTCTTGATGATGATAACTAAAATTACTAATATGAACCTACAGGGATAGTATGTTCAAAAGACAATAACGATTGTGTCACAGTATGAATACAAGGGTGCATGCACGGTAAAGGACAATAACGATTCATGTAAGATCCAAGTAAAATGCATCACAGTATGAAAAAAGTACTAGCGCACAGAGTTATTCGCAATTGTGTCACAGTGTCAATTCCTGGTTAAAATAAATAGCTGAGGAAATAGATGTCATGGATTGCATATCCATCTATGCTTCTCGCCTAAAGATATACATATGAAGATTACAATGCAACAATATATTTAATAGGAATGAAAAATTGTTTCAGCATCATTTATATAAGTTCAATTGCCAGATAGAGTGCGCCTGTGATACATAGCTGAGGGAAAACTTGGTGGACGGACATTCTTGGTGGCGAACCTTGCACCCATCGGTTGCTTCCCAGCATTTCTGACAGAACTCCCTCACGATGCATCAGACTTGGATATATACGGATGCATGATTTCATATAATGATGCAGTTGTCTACTACAACAATTTATTGAAGGGAAGACTTGGGCAGATTCGAGATCAGCTACTGGATGTCTCTGTTATATATGTGGACACTCATTCTATCAAGCTTGAGCTTTTTCAGCATCCTAAAGACCATGGTTAGGAAATTCCTTAGTTAAAGTTCTCTATTGAAATTCAATATTTATGCACCTGTCTCTTTTCGGTAGGACTATTTTTTTCAAAGAAATATTGTCTTCTTACGTTGTTATCTTCCTTCTCTTATAACACCAGCTCATACCAGCTTGTTTCCTAAATTCTTTTTCCCTATGTTCCTGCATATTTTACCCATGGTTAAGCATATTCAAAAGAAAATAATGGTTTAGATGAGCTTTCGACGCATTATGGCCGAAAAATGACATCCTGGGAGTGGATGGGCATTGATTCCTTGCATCAACACACAACACAAAGTTAAAGCTGATGATGGTGTTGATTTAAAAATAGGCATGCCCATGCTTTTATATGGTCAGGGGCTATACTTTGTGGAGATCGATGATCATGAGCTGAAAGCCCAAAGCCTTGAATATGATAAACTCAGCTAAAGGTGGATAATAGGAGACTACGTATTCAAAAAGTAAATAAAAAGTTAACTGAGAAACTCACATTTAACTTCAGAATCAGTGAGTCCACTTTTGACTCAAGCCTGAACTAGAGAAAGCAATCCAAAGGCCAGTTACCAAAAATCTCGGAAACTCAAGAGTTCAGTCACTAAGAATGCCATAATTCTTACTCTTCACAGTTGCATATATGCTTAAAACAACATATAACAGTCAAATTGGAATTTGATTTCTTTTGTAAGATTAATGTGTCTTTTACAGCAACATAGGTGCGCGCGGAACAGGAAACAGCAGTAAAAAATTGTAAGATGTAAACATATATCATGAAGCTGTATCCAATTAACTTCAGTGATTTAAAAATGAGAAGGAAGTGAGAAAAATAACCCCATTTTTGTCCCACAAGCTAAAGATAGCATCGTCAGGGGTTGCAGATGGCCTTAAAGCAGGGCAGGTTACTTAATTGACCTCAGCATCATCATAAGCCATCATGAAAAATGAGGACCTCTGTATTCATTCCTGACTGTAAAATTTGACCTAAGAAATAAAAGATGATACACGCAGTATTAGGAATTTAATCAAGTATTAGATCTGCCTAATTATACTAGATTGTTTAGGCAATGTGCCTAATTACTTAGGTATAAATTAGAATAAAAGTACTTAGGTTGCAATTTGTACCTCTGAGCTGTCAAAGTTGATACTTCATTCCCTGCTTTTGATTTAAGGACTAGTACTCCGGTACACGTGATGCGTGGATGACGCCAAACTTGGAGAATTGTTGTAGTTGAATTGTCAAGAAAATAGATGGTTTTAAAGCATTTTTGTTGAGTTCTTTATAATTGTTTAAGTCTTAGGGCATTTCTACGATTTGTTTCAAATGAGAGATCGCTACCTTTGATTTTGCAAGTTGAGGACATTTTAGCTGATTTATTCAAGTGTAAGATCATCTGCAGTTCAAATTTTCAAGTGTGAAGGCATTTATGAAATTCTAAAAATGTGGCTCACAAAGACCAAGAATGAGGCTTTCCTTAACATATAGTATAGAATGATCTGAATCTGATTTTTTTAAAACACAATACTCTTGCTGTAACCTTGCACTACATAATACACATATTGTCTCTCATTTCCATCACATATCCTATAATATGAACCACTTGAATTTGGGGAAGATCTGACATATATTGAACTAGTTCAAATTTTGGATCGAAAGGAAAAGATACTACATTTCAAGGTTGTCTCCCTAGTAAAGGTTTTTTGGGAGCACCATTCTCATGAAGAAGCGACTTGGGAACGTGAAGAGGAAATGAAAGAAAGATATCCCCATCTGTTTGAAGTGCAAGGTATGTAAATTTTGAGGTCAAAATTTATTTAAGGGGGTGAGAATGTAATACCTCTATTAAATAAACACTAATAATCTAGTATTTAGAATATAAATGAAGGATTGATTTATTCTGATAGGACCTAATAGAGAGATGCTACATTTATCGAGCTATATTTTCCTTTGGACATCCAAATAATATTAAATGCACGTAAGTATTAAATAAATAAATAAACCGCTAACCTAACAATAGATAATAGCAGTAACGAAAACCAGAGACTTGTTTGAGGCGGTGGAATACATCAAATAGGTAAGTTATGGAATGAATAGAGAGACTTATGTGTAAAGTTGAAAATATCAAACGTGAAGAAGCTATAATTGTGCTGCTGCTATGGCGTATAACATCAACATTAAATCAGTCATCAGATCGATATAAAAGCTATAACATGCCAATTAAGGTACAAAGCTAAAATTTTCATAACTAAAGCAACACCTGAATTAGACAAACACAAGCATTGTGAATATCTTGTTTAAAACATCAACTGAAAGAGCTTTGGGGCTCAAAATCACAAAATGAATATTTAGGGGCGAAGAGAGAATGGGAAATTTGCGAGGTAATTAAACTTCAGAAGAAGAGCTACAAAACCTCAGCATTGAGCCTTTAGATAATCTCTAAGCAACCAGTTGAACTGAGATAGGGTTTTGCAGACTTCTCGGCCCAAAAACAAAACGACTGCTAGGGTTTCCAGTCCCCGCATAAGACCTAAATCAAGAGAGGAATCGAACAATTCCGTGCTAAAACAACTGCAATTAGAGAAAACGAAGGCATCAAAAGAAAAAAAACCTGAAATCGAGGGGTCTTTCGATCTCCAGTACGAAAGATCGAACCAACGAGGGTAGCTCGACCTTGAAGATAATATCGGAGAGGAGATTGGAGATGAGATCCAAGATGAAACGGCGACGAGTGATTGGAGATGAGATCCAAGATGAAACGGCGACGAGTTCAGTGATGAGATCGACGACGCCACGGCGATTGTAGGGAGCGGAAATTTTTGGCTTAGGGTCGACGACGCCACGGCGATTGTAGGGAGCGGAAATTTTTGGCTTAGGGATTTCCGTGAGGATTTGAGAGGGAGAGAGAGAGATTTTGTTTAAACGGTTAGGGACATGGGCTTTAAAAACATTTATTAAGCCCAGGAACAATTATTAAGCTCAGGAATAATTATTAGACCTATGGCAACGTTTTTTTATAAATTGTTGTATTAGGCATTGCAAACTGTTACGATAGATATCTAACGCAACAGTTAAAACCGTTGCAACTTAACCGCTGCAATAGGTCAATTATGTGGTAGTGACAAAAGATCAAAATTCAATTGAAGCTGACATACTATATAATGCGTAATTAGAAGATATTGTGGAGATATTTTATAGATATAGTAAAAAAAGCCAATGTAGTTACATGTTGTTTAAGTTTTGGTGGTTTCTTGCAAAATCGCTTCTAGATCATTATAAGTTTACACTTGTCAATCTTGATAAAGAAGTTTATATATGAGAAATTCATCTTTATAGAACAGGAAGATCAGTGTTCCTCTATGAAAGATCCTAAGACCACAACTGATTGTGTTGATTTGTACAAAGGGTCAAGGTCTGATTGTTCTTCCTAATGATAAAGATGATGATGAGGCTGAAGAAGACAATAACAATGAACATATTTATTCATTTCATGATGTTTGACAAAACTACTCCTATCCACAGAATGTCATGCTGAAATGTTTGATTATGGGACTTGGACTAATGTTCCAATTTTAAGTGAAGGCAATAATTCTAGCTCAAAGTCTAGGAGCAAAAGAAAAAATAAAAACACATATCAAATTTAGCTAAACTCATATAGACATAATCTCATACAAGACATAAAGAGCAAGATGTAGAAGATATAAAATTTTAAACTTTTTAAAGTTAGAAAATGAGAAGTGAAATTAACTTGGTAAAAAATATTTGTTATAAGCATTTGAAGAATTCTTCTTATGCATTTTAACAACTTAATTAAAATTACAAATGAGGTAAGAGACTTCTTTGGAAGGGGCGTGATCGATCACAACTCACGACCCCATGCGACAGATTTGTAGAGACATTGCCACCACCGTCTCCTCATATAGGTAATTTATTTTATTAATTTTTATGTTTTATTATTCATGATATTTGTTTACTTTAAAATCTTCAATTTTTTAGGTGATCAATCACATTCGGTTACTCAAGGCTCGAGTCATTCTATACCTGGATCCTTTAAAGAACCATCAACACCATATCCTTACATTAGTACTTAATAGTTTTTAATAATGTTTTGTGTTGATTATTATCTTTAATTTTGCAGGTGGTTCCTGGACACCATCTTTCTATTGTGATGAGCCGTCGATCATTTTCCAGCCACTTACACCCAATATTCGATGTCTCCCATTACAGCCAGAAGCATTTGATGAATTTTAAAGACTAGATCTGACAAGCTCAATCCACCTATAGCAAGAAAATTATTGGAGTGGGGTGTTTTGATAAACTCTAGAAAAGATAATGCAATTGAAACAAAGTATAGAGAGATTGAGAAAGGTTAATAATTCTATATTTTATAATTTGAATTTTAAAGTCCTTAATATTTTTTTCTCATTATCTTAGCAGGTAGTGAGCTTCCATCCATGAAGAGCAGATGCAATACTAAGAAGTCTATAACAAAGGAAACACCAAAAGGTCAAAGAGTTAATGTTGAATGAAATAAAGCAGGGGTGCCAAACGGAACTTGGACTACTAAAATCAATAATTATTTTGGAGTTTTAATACAAAGAGCAAATATTTGTATCACATTCTTTAACTATCCCAAGCTTCCATGGTCAACCATCACTGAAATATGGGAGAAGCTCATTGGTGTATCTTTTATTAATTTACTCTTTCATTTGTATTTCTATTGTGTATTCTAGTTACATGCATACAAATTTATAGAAATGATATGGCCTTGAGGACAATCACAATGGACGGAACTATATTTTTGGACCCAGTGGAAAAGTTCTAATGGCATTCAAACAGTGGAGACATAAATTAAAGCACAATGTATACAATAAATATGCATATGATTGAACAAAGCTTTATATTCTTGATCCAAGAGTGGATCACTTGATGATTTTGACGAAAATGAAATCCACCTTAGATTCATCTTCTCTCCGAAACTGATATTCAGTTTTTTATTTTTCTAGAGTTATGTAAATTGATTTTTAGTTCTCAGTTTTTTTTAGATTTACCAATTTTACCCTCTTATATACATGTCATACAACTTAAGTAATAATAAGTTTTAAGTAATAATAAGTTATAAGTTGTGAGATTGTTTAATAGGACATGTTTGGGATTTTTTAAAGCATGAATAACACAGGCAAAGCACCAAAAAAAGGATTTTCTTAAATAATAGTATAGATATATGCATTATAATATATTGCTAAAGTTTTTGTGATTCTAATACATAATTGTTTTATGCTAAGGCTGCGGATGTTGTGAGGAGCAACAGTGGCATGAATGAGAGACATGTGCAAACACCGAAGATGATTTGAAAGAGGTGGTTGAGCTCGGTACATGACTATTTATTTTCTATCTTATCTATCATTTATGTGAGACATTTTACATATCTGTAGGAGCCTTAAAATTTTGCTTGTATCATGTTTGTGACAACGATGGATTTCTCATGTTATGACTTATTATCTATATGTGTATGATGGATTTATTGGATTGTAAAATTATATGTCACATAATTGTTTAAATGATGAAACAATGTGAGATAGTTATTTAAATTATTATTAATTAGTGGATTGTGTTGTGAACTTGTTGGATGTGATATTTGAAATTGTTGGAAGATGACGTGTTGAAACTGGAGAAGATTCCAGGAAGTAAGAATCCAACATATATGTTAACAAAGACAGTGGCCATTCAGAAACTAGAGTTGTGCACAATTTCAGTTGTCCTTCATGCATAGGTGATGAGGGTGGAGCTACACAGGAGAATGTGCTTGTTGAGATAGCCTGCTGACGATGGTTTGGTCTCCAAGTGGGAGATTGTTGGAATTAGGGGTGTCGACCAAACCTGTCAGGTGGCTTCAGGTGAGGTCGTGGACACGCAGGTGAGCTCGAGCAGGCAAAGTCTAAAAGAACTGTTGGGGATTCGAAACAATCAATCGAACCCTTGCCCTTCCGGACCTTGTGTTGAAAGTAGGAAAGTAGGAATAAACCACAAATAAAGATCTAACCTTGTAAAAACAGTAAAAGAGACGAACACACAGATTTAACGAGGTTCGGCAACGTGCCTACGTCCTCGGGAGCCACACCACACAATCTTTCTATTAATTGAAGAAGGAAATACAAGCTCTCAAACAAGGGGTAAATCTCTCTGAGATTCTCTCTCTCTTAGCAGCCAAAAAACTCTCTTTTTGATGTCCTACAAACCCTAGAAACGTTTGGGTATTTATAACAAACCCCAGCAGAACAGGATTCCTAGATAAAATAGGAAACAGCGAATCTGCGTCGCGGTCGACCGCTTTGCCAAGGTCGGTCGACCGGTCAGAACGACGAAATCCTACAGGGTCTTGTGCACGATATCGGTCGACCGCAGCGACCACGCCGGTCGACCGGCCAGAGCGAAAACTTCTTCTCAGTCTCCTGCAGTGCACGCGGTCGACCGGCTCTGCCACTGCGGTCGACCGCACAGTCTTCTGACTGTTTTCTTCGTCTTTTCGATTGCAGCTTTGGGTCTACACACTTAGACTAACAATCTCCCACTTGGAGACCAAAGCGCCATCAATGAGCTCACCCGAACTCTCCCCTTCTTCGCATGTATCTTTTCCCCTGAAAAACTCTTTCTTCAATCAACATCCCGACGATCGCGCCGATCCTCGTAGTGTGGCTCCGCCTTCGTCTTCTACTCGTGAAGGCCAACTGAAGTTGCGCACAACTCCAGTTTCTCAATGGTGACTGCCTTCGTCAACATGTCCGCCGGATTTTGACTCCCCAAAATCTTCATTAAGTGCAACTTTCCGTCCTCGATCAGCGAGCGTATAAAATGGTATTTAACGTCGATGTGCTTCGTTCTGGCATGATATACTGGATTCTTGGCAAGATGTATAGCGCTCTGGCTATCACAATAAAGAACTCCTCTCCCTTGCTTCAGATCCAACTCTTCCAAGCACCCGTTCAACCAGATCATCTCCTTGCTTGCTTCAGTCACCGCGACATACTCAGCCTCGGTTGTAGACAAAGTCACAATCTTCTGCAGACGTGAGACCCAGCTCACTGCTGTCGACGCTAAGGTATAAACATACCCCGTGGTGCTTCGCCTCGTATCATGATCACCGGCGAAGTCCGCATCCACGTATCCCTGCAGCACCAACTCCTTCCTCCTGAAACATAGTGGCTTGTTCGTTGTTCCCCTCAAGTACCGCATTATCCACTTTACGGCCTCCCAATGCTGCTTTCCTGGATTGCTTGCAAATCTGCTCACAACTCCCACTGCATGGGCGATGTCCGGCCTCGTGCAAACCATCGCGTACATGAGACTCCCAATGGCCGAAGAATATGGCACCCTGCTCATATGCTCTCTATCTGCATCTGTCTTAGGCGATTGCTCCTCAGATAACTTGAACTGACTTCCAAGGGGTGTGCTAACAACTTTAGCATTCTGCATGTTGAACCTCTGAAGTACCTTCTCAATGTATTCAGCTTGGCTCAAACTCAATGTCCCTTCAGCTTCATCCCTACTGATTCGCATCCCTAGAATCTGCTTCGCTGCACCCAGATCCTTCATTGCAAATTCCTTTGCTAGCTGCCTCTTCAAACTGTTTATCTCTTCTAAACACGGTCCTGCTACCAACATGTCATCAACATATAATAACAAAATAATGAAGCTGGACTCGAACCTTTTGAAATAACAGCAATGATCCGAAT